CATTAGCACCTCTAGTAATATATTTACTGAGAAAAATGTTGACGTGTTCAATACTTATTTTACCCGCTGTATCATGGATTCAAATACCAGGAGATCTTGGATGAAATTATCATGCAGTCAGTGACAAAACTGAAGCTTGGGAGACGTTTGATCTTCCAACAAGTCAATGATCCCAAGCACACCTCAAATTCTACTGGGGCTTGGTTGCAGAAGAAAGGTTGGAAGATTCTGGAGTGGCCATCACAATCACCTGACTTAAATCCCACCCCCACCTGAAAATCTCTGGTGGGACTCGAAGAAGGAAGTTGCATCACACAAGCCGAAGAATGTCAATGAACTAYAGGCCTTTGCCCATGAGGAATGGGCTAAAATACCTTTAGATCGCTGCAAAAAACTTGTGTCAAGCTTTGTTTCACGTTTGAAGGACGTTATTACTGCCAAAGGGAGTTGTACTAAGTACTAATGATGTATGTGACTAAGGGGTTGAGTAATTTTGTCACTGAAGAAATCACAAAAATGATATTTGTTGTTATACTTGAAAAMATATTGCTGTAATTTAAGTTGAATTTGTTTATTATTAAATTCATTCTTTGACCTGATTGTAAACAAGATGAAAAATAAACGTCAAACTTGCTGAAACATTTTATTGTAGTGGGGGTTGAATAATTTTGAACACAACTGTAATTGTGAGCACGATGACAATATGTGCTTTGGAAGCTTGGTTTCCAGATGACATGCAAAATGATTCATTTGAAAAGAGGACATTTGAGCACTGAGCAACAGTCCAGTTATTTATCGCCTCCGTCCAGGTAAGACACTCCTGAAGTTGTCTCTGGTTCAGAAGTGGCTGACTTGAGGAAAGTTTGTAGCCCATGTCAGGAGTTCATTAGGATTTGGCTCCTGGTCACTGCCAAAAGTACAGAAACTGGCTATGTAATATTAAAATTTTATGAGATTCTCAATAGTTTTTGGTACGCATTATCATTAAAAGTACAAAATTGATGATTGAACTATTTTAATATTTCACTCTGTAATGAATCTACATAATGAGTTTCACTTTAAAAAAGAAAAACTTCAAAATGTTCTAATTGTTTAAGATGAATCTACATCTGTTGGGCCTGGAAACATCCATCCATTATCAATACCCGGTTATTGCTTTTCTAGGGTCACTGGTGCCCATATAGTCACAGTGCGAGGGGTTGGGTATACACCCTGGACAGGTCGCTGGTCCATCACAAAGGCCAGGAAACGTAGAAAAATAGCTTTATGTGCTTGAATGCAGTGTGAAAGCTGAGTTATCTGACTGCTTAAAGGGATCCCCGATTAGTTGTAACATTAGATTTTATTTAATAAACATATACTTTAACTGTAAAAATACTGCAGGGTGTTCAGTTTTTATAAAATTTAAACTAAAAGTTTAAAAATATATTACACGGACGGGGCCATTTTATTTACACACAAAGCATTCTGGGTAAATGAT